ACGCATATGGCCTCCGTCAACAAACGGTTGGGCGTCTCCGGTGAGCCGACCACCGAGCCAACCACACCGTTGGTTATGAAGTACTACGACAAGGATGCTAAGTAAGTTGTCGCATTTCTTCCTTCATCATTCTGGAGGCAGCATGATGTCGTTTCGTATAAGCTGGAAGGCAGACCTCCAAAGAAATGTAATTTCAAGGAAAGGCGTCCTTTGGGAAAATGAGGAAAAAATGTATTCAGTGAATTTTTGACGCTGGATCCCCAGGTCCGTATGTAAGGAATGTGTCTGAACTCGTTGAAAGACACTTGCGGAAACACCAAATGAAAGTGACGCACAAACCAGTGGCTACTTTACGCGCCCAGCTTGTAAAACCTAAGAATAGGGTTGGCTACCTCGATAAGAAAGCAGTCATCTACAAAATCCCATGCGAAGCTTGTGACACGGTATATTGTGGCCAAACGAGAAGATCTGTCTCCACAGGTATCCACGTGCACCAATTGGCACTGAAGAGACGTGACCTTTTGTCCAAAGTGGCTATGCATTGCCTTGACACAGGACACACCTTTGCATTGGACAAAACACGCATCGTCGGAGTTTGCCCCTCCAAAAAACGCCGAGAATTTCTTGAGGCCATGCACTTCGATGATTCATGCATCAACCGGTGTATCGAGTTGGCTGGAGTGTACATACACCTCAAAGAAAGGTGGAGACTACAGCCGACAACTATGGACCAACATTAACCGCAATTCGTCCAGGATGACCTGGACTGAACTCGGACCGACTCAAATTACAGTTGCCAATTAGCCATTACGCCATTTCGACTGCTAATTATGTCCACCAAGATGGGACACAAGGTGCAACTACCGATTAGCAACAACACTAAACGACTAAATAGCTGTAACGGCATTTTGAAATGTTGACTGTTGTTAGCACATTTTTCTCAAGTCTGACGACGACCTGGTGATCCAGTGTCGAAAATTTACTGAATAAATTTCCCCATTTCCCCAAAGGACGCCTTTCCTCAAAATTGCATTATGATATTATCCTGCCCTGTATCTTTGGACATACCTATCCTTCTGTATACTGCCACATATGCGAATCGAAAGGCGTATACGTGTTGGGACCAATCCCCAAAAAGCAACGAGACGCGATCTGAATTCAGCACGGATGCTCTTGACCAGACACGCACATACAAAATCTGGACTGCTTCCAACAGAATAACTGTCGGATTTAATGTCTACTCTTCTCCCATTAGTCGAAGCCAAGGGCAACCTGGCTGACCCCTGCCCAAACCTGCGAGATTCTATCATGGTCTGAGTTTG